TGTTCTGATTGTGATGGATTGTTAGACTGGATTCATCAGTCTTCTCTGTATAGCTTTTAATTCAAAATTCAAATACTCCCTTCTGCCATACACCAATAGGATTCTTCTATGAATCACTTCAGTTGGTTTTCCCATTATTGGAGAAAATGAAGTATGTAATCTTAAGGTTCATTTTTGCAGCTTTGGGAGGAAAGCAGGAAAAACTTAATATTGTGTAGTGATAATGAAAATATCTAATACTTCTTACTATTATTACCCACAGGGTTTAATCACATCTTGCCTTATTTCTACGTGACTTATTTCACCATGTTGCTTATCCACCGAGAAGCTCGAGATGAACACCACTGTAGGAAGAAATACGGCTTGGCTTGGGAAAAGTACTGTCAGCGGGTGCCGTACCGTATATTTCCATACATTTACTAATTCTCATCTAGCATAGTTTAAAAATGCTTCTGATATCCTAGTCTCCATTTGCAAAAACAAAAAACAACAAATTCCAAAATAAACCCTCTTTCATTGCACTGACAGGATCTGCAAGCTTTCTTTTTGAGTCAGGACTACAGCCAAGTAGTAAGTCTTGTAATACAGCCGTGATTATTCTTATTAAATTATAGCAATTACCATAGAGAGAAATAGATGTTAGAAGTTTCATTTTAATAGGAAATTTTCAATTCTTGAAAATCTGAAAACAAGACAGTTGTCTTATAAATTTACTGAATTAGATTTTCAAATTTTGATTTTTTGTTTTGCCAGTGGTTTTTCTTAAAACACTGTAACATACTTTCAGAATGCATTTATGTTTTTATTGCATTAAGAGGACAGACTTTTAATTCACTTCCTTTTAATTAAATCACTTACAGTGACATGATTTAAAAGTAAAAACCGGTCCTTTGTTAAATCCTATATGTGAAGAGGGATGAGAGATTATTTTTAAGGGAGACCATTAGTAGCAGTTGAGTTAACCTCAGCTTCTAATACTGCTTTTGAAAATGTAAATACATAGCTTACTTTTATGTAATATATGGTGACTTCAGATTTTTCTGTACAGTATTTTAAATGTGAGATAATGGTCAGGGCTAATAAGTATCTTTTAATGAAAACATTTTCAGTATTTTAAATTAAGTGTTGTAAAGTAATACATTTGTGAGTTAAAAATTTTGGAACAATTAGAATTCATTTAGTATTGTTCAGAAGATGCTATTAAGACATAGGAAGAATATTTTTCTGAATCCAAAGTTCGTGAGTTTGGCTTTGCTACCTCAATTGCAGGTGTTTGTTTGCCTTTATAAATTGTTGCAAATAGAAAAAAATAGAATATATATTTTTGGAGTAACATCACTGTTTAAACATTTTTACACAGATTGGTGTTTGAAAATCGGCCATTTCAGGCTAGTATTTTTGTATGTTTTTGACTTTTTTAATCAGACATGTTTTTGCTACTGTTTAGTTCATGCAGTTTATACTGTATTTTGTATATCTTTTATATTTACAAAACTTTATTTCTTGTAAAGGAGTGTTGTGTTCAGCTTTAGAAGTCTATTCATTTAAAAATAATTTAAGGGAATAGTTTAAAATAGTTTCTTTTAGTTCACTAGATGTGCATCTAAGGTAGCTTTAGCTATTATGTTCTAGTTAAGTTGATATAGTCTCCTTTATTAACAAATTCACTAAACTTTTGTATTAAAAGTTAAATTGTTTTCAGTTTCTTAAACGGGGATGTAATAAATAGTGTATGTTTGGGTTTTAATGATACGTTTTATATATGAGCCGTTTATATATGCAGTGTTTGTGCTACACTGCAGTTTGAAGTATATTTAACTTGGCGTGTGTTAATGTGATCATGAAATTGGTTCGCTCTAGCATTCTGCAGCCTATAGCTTTTAAAGACGCTGTTCTGGCGAAACTGTCAGTGTTTTATTAGTGGTGATGTGTGCAAGCAGTTGTATGCTCCTGGCAGCAGAAGGATGGTGTCGCGGCACTAGATTCACCACGGAAACTTGCGGGGAGGAAGGGCATGTTTCTTTCCCTGGTGATGAGAAGACGTGTTACCAACACAGTGATAGCAGCTGCGATTTGTTGTCAGTTTTGTTTTTGACATGTTTATTTGACAAGTAGAAGTTTTATAATGAAGTTTTAAGCTTGCAATAAAGTTGAAAATAAAAAGATGTTGCTTGGATGGAGCCTCATTATTCTTGCCGGGAACTCTGGGGGGCACAGGGACCCAGACAGGAGCTCTTAGATCGCCATTCCCTGCCCCTCCGCTACCCCCTTATTTTCTAGAATCATTTGTTCAGTCATGGAAGCTATTATTAATAGAGTAAAATTAATAAAATTTTGCCTAAAGAAGTACATTTGATATTAATCTAATCCACTGAGTCCTCAGGATTTGTTTTTTAGTGGGAAGACTGGTCTAGTGAAGTCAGAACAAGACATATGCTCTGTCTTGCGTGTTTTAAATAGAAGATGGTCCCTCTCCTTTGTCTCAGAAGTCTGCCTTTAGGCCAGCAGTACAGTGTCTTGTGTTGACTAAGCAGCAGGGGAAAGTATTGCAAACAGCTACTTTGCGTGTGTGTATTTTATTGTATACAACAGTGCAGAAGTCAGAAGTTCTTATACAAACACTCCTTGATACCATGCCAGGTACTGTGGTTTTTACTTTCAGAAAAGTCAAACCTGCATTCCAGGTAATGCTGACCTGTACTAGAACCCAACTATACAGATACTGCATACCAGGTTTTATGTGGTTGGAAATAAACAGCTGGAAAATTCCCTCACATGTTGAAGTTTTCACTTGCAGATGGATGAAAGAAAGTATGCTGTTCCATCTGGTTGAACACGAGTGTTTTATGAAGAGTGTTTAGTACATGTCAGTGTCTTGGAACATGTAAATCTGATTGATGAGCGTCAAAAGAGAAAATGGTTTAGGATTGACATTTATTTTTCATTCTTTCATCTCACACAGCAGTGCAACCCGCATTTTGATCCAGTGACTGGGAGGTTTTTGTGTCGGCAAACGCACGGATGTTAAGAAGCTTGTGGATAAACTGGTCGTCGTCACGATTCTTGACCTTTGAGGGGTCTGGTAAATAGGGCATTCAAGAGTATAAAGGTCCGAGTCTGTCTGGTTAGAAACCTCTGGTTTTTCAGTAGAAATCTTAAAAAAAAAAAGAAATCCAACAGTCATATTGCATAGCTCAGGCAAACCAGTAGCTCATTTTCTGTGTGCTAGATTTGATAGAGTAATCGTCAAGGCTTTCTAGTACATATCCTTGAGAAAGAACATGGGATGTTAATACAGCATCTATTTTAGACTGTAGTAATATTTTGGGCTATTTTATTTTTTGGGGGGCTATTTTTAAATGTACTTTGCTATCTTAATTATATCATCACATTTCCCTTGTGAAACCATAGGGAATAGTAACTGGAAGGAATGGTTTGTATTACTGAAAGTTCAGAAGATTAGGACTTAGTGATAAACAGCTGAGTGGTTACCTTTGTTGGCAAAAAGTAGATTTCAGGAAAATCGCAACAAATCTCAAGAGGCAGTGAGTCGTCTAATATTTGTTGTTGATGATTCCATCTTGCCCCATCGATGAACAAACCAAAAACGTGAACTCCGGTGTGTGATAGGTCTGTGCCCTAAGATAAGAAGAAGGTAGTGTGAGTGGCTCCCCAGGCAGGACGCTTCTTTGATAGCAGTGCGAGCCTCGGGCTCCGCCTGGAGGACACTCAGGGAGGCAGACCGCCTCCCTCCCACCCTAGTCTGGGGCCATCTCTGCCCAGGGCATGTCTTCACGGGGCCTAAAATGAATAGTTAATTCTTGCCCTACTCTGAGCACTTAAATACATTTGTAGGCTTTGTTCTATATATGATGTTCCTGAGTTGGTAAGTATTTAAAACACAGTCAAGCCCCAAATTCCTAGAATTATAATCCTGTAACCAAGCTTTTTAGGAGCAAACGAGAATAGTCACAAAAGCAGTCAACTGTGCTCAAACTTTGTCATCTGCTACCTCTACCACTGCAGCTACAATGATTCCTTTAGGCCCTGGAAATTTTAAAAAAGGCTGGGGAGTGCTGTACATCCTATCTTTGAATGATACAAAATGGGTTAAAGGAATGAATTTCTGATGAGTTCTGTGGAGTAGAAAATTTAGTTGCCGAAGCTGCCATCCTGGGTGACCCCAGGCGTGCCTTGGGAGGGTCTGCTGAAGACCAAGTTCTCCTGCAGGTAACCAGTGGTGATGCCCAAACCAGAGGAGCTGGGCAGCCGAGCACTGGTCTCCCCTGCCCCCAGCTCACTGACACGTGTGGAACAGCCAGCGCTGTGCCCGGTGACATTGTGCTCTCCACTCTGGAGCACGTCTGTGCCTGGAGATGCAAACTCAGCTCATGAAGCACCTTGTGTTTTGGTGTGCTGTATAAAAGACTTTCGCTTTTCAACACTTTAAAAAGTGTTGAAAAGCAATGATGTCACTTTGGGGACTAAGGTGCACCTGACCCAAGCCTTGGCATTTTCAGTCACCTCCGATGCATGCAAAAGCTGGACAATGAATGAGGAAGACCATAGAAGAATTGATGCCTTTGAATTATGGTGTTGAAGAACACTGAATATACCATGGACTGCCAGAAGAACGAAAAAGTATGTCTTAGAAGAAGTACAGCCAGGATGCTCCTTGGAAGCGAGGATGGCGAGACTTCGTCTCATGTGCTTTGGACGTGTTTTCAGGAGAGACCAGTCCCTGGAGAAGGACATCATGCTTGGTAAGGTAGAGAGTAAGTGAAAAAGAGGAAAATAGCAATAATTGCGAGGATGGCGCAGGACCGGGCAGTGTTTCATTCTGTTGTACATAGGGTCACTCTGAGTCGGAACCGACTTGACAGCACCTAATAACAACAATAAAAGACTTACTAGGGATTGCTTTGCCTAATGACTTACTTCTCTTCCCCTTTAATTTTTTTTTTTTACTCACAGGCAATATTGTTTCTTTTATAAGCCAATCTATTATTTGGTTGAAAGGTGACCTGCAGAAATAGTTCCAATTCCAAGCTCAAAGGGTATCTTAGGGCAATTCTTCCCCTTTAATTTTTATGCAGATCCAAAATTTCATACACTGCGCTTGCTCTAGTGTTGCCCTTTCATATAAATCTTGGAGGAAGTTAATCTAACATTTGAAAATGTGACTTCCACTTCCACTTGTGTACTTGGCCTTGGTATCCATGGGTCTTTCCTCTGAAAAACTCAAAATTGCAGGTAATCTGTAAGCAGCCCATGTTGTTAGGTGCCATCAAGTCATTTTCGACTCATAGCAACCCCACGTGACAGAGTAGAATTGTGCCATGGGTTTTCTTGGCTGTAATCTTCACGGAAGCAGAGCTCTAGGTCTTTCTCCTACGGAACGGCACCTTTCAGTTAGCAGCTGAGCACTTAACCGTTTGCGTGCCTAGGGCTACTTACAGTACACTTAGAATGTCTAGAAATCAGTGGAGTCTCTGGGTGTTGCAGATGGTTAATGTGCTCAGCTGCTAACCAAAAGTTGGAGATTGGTGTCCACCCAGAATCTGGGTGGAAAAATCAGCCATTGAGAACTCCATGGAGCACAGTTCTACTCATGCACATGGGGTCGCCATAAGTAGGAGCTGACTCAATGGTAACCGGTACTGGTATAAATCAATAGGAAAAAGACAACTCAATAAAAACTGAGCAAAAATTTGAACAAGAACTTCAGAATGTCAATAAGCATATATTGAAAGCTGCTCAATGCCATTAGTTATCAAGGAACTGCAAATTAAAGTCACAAAGAGATACCACTACCTGCCCACCAGAATGACTAAAAGACTGATGATATGGGTTGTTGGCAAGGGTGTGAAGTAACCTCTCTCTCTCTGTAAACTGCTGTAACTATATGTAACACACCATTTGCCATGTCAGCGTCTTTCGAATATGCATTCAGTGACACCAGTTCCGTCAGTCATGCTGTGTAACCATCGCCAGTATTCACTGCCAGACTCTCCATCGCCGTGAACAGAAACTTGGTGCGTCTGAAACACTGATTGCCTTTGGAGCAATCTCACCCATTCCTGGGGCGTGTAAATCATACCAACACTCTGAAAAACCATGTGGCAGTATTTACACCAAAGCTAAACATGTGCCTATCTATGACACTCAATTTATTTCTTAGGTCTATAGCCAAGAAAAGTAAGTATGTCTGCCAAAAGACATATGCAGTAATGTTCAAGACAGCTTTACTCACCATAGCCCCAAACAGAAAACAACCCACATGTCCATGCTCAGGAGAACAGATAAACAGAGGTACATTAACACAGTGGAATACTATATAGCAACAGAAAAGAACAACCGCTATATGCAAAACATGAATGACTTTCACAGATAGAATGTTGAGTAAAAGAAGCCAGACACAAAAGATACAGACTGCATGATTCCACTTACAGGAAATTCAAGACAGGAGAAAAGTAATCTAAGATGATTAAAGCCAGAATAGGGGTCACCTTTGAGGGAGGGTCCTAACTAGGAAGGGATGTGAGGGTGCCAACCATTGTTCGATCCTTGACCTGGGGGGTTGAGTGAAATACTTCACCTCAATGAAAATAAACAAAAAGAAGCTAGTGAAAGAACAACACAACTAAAAAAAAATAGGACAACTAAAAAGGTAAAAGCAGGAATGAAAGAGTGGAAAGCATGCAAACAGAAAACACGAGGGTTGTTAGAAAAAGTAAATAACAATAGGCAAAGTTGGCATGTTTGATTTAGGAAAGAAATTAGAAATGAGTAAGAGCTTACTGCAAAGAGTAGGTTGTAGAGCATTAACGATCTGTTTATGATAGCGACAATTACAAAATGCTCAGGAAAACAATCTAACAATTTTCTAGGATCTGTGAAGAAAAGGAAACTTACTGAAGGACATAAAGGCTCTGAATACGTAGAAAGACAAACCGTGTTTCTATATGGAAAAACTCAGTATTGAAAAGATGCAAGTTCTCCCCCAAATTTATATATAAATTTGTTGCAAGCAGATCAAAATCCCAACAGGGTCTTTAAGAAAAACAAAATGTGATAAGCTTATTCTCAAATTCATCTGGAAGAGAAAATGTGCAAAAGTCCAGACAGTTTTAAAAAAGAACAAGGACTGACTTGCTCTGCCAAGTGTGCACGTGTACTTGACGACCTCCAGCACTATGTGGTATTGGTCCCGGAGCGGAAAAGGCGTTCTTAGAACATACTAGCAACTTAGTAAACAATACTGCGGCCCTTCAAATCAGTGGGGGTAAGATGGCAAGAGCGGGGCTGCACCCTGCGCCCCAGCCTGTGCCACCTCCATCGGGCATCCTCAGCTGTTTGCTGAGTGCCCTTGAGTCTCATTGCAAGCTGGGTAGGGGTTTCTGCTTTGAGCCAGGCTGAACTTCGTGGAATGAATGGGTTCTGGGTGGGCAGGCACTACAGCTGCTGAGCAGTCATGAGGAGAGGTTTGCCCCACTGATTTGAAATGCCACCTTTAAATCCTGACTTCAGCAGCAGTCTGTCTTCATACCAGTTGCTACAGAGTTGACTTGACTCATGGTGACCCCTTGTGTAACAGAGTATAACTGTGCTCCATAGGGTTTTCAGTGGCTGATTTTTTGGTAGTAGCTCATTAGGCTTTTCTTCCAAGGTGCCTATGGGGGGATTTGAACTATCGACCTCTCGGTTAGCAGCGAGCATGCTAACTGCACCACCCAGGAGGTTCAGTGGTAGAAGTCTCAACTTCCGTGCAGGAGACTAAGGTCCAATTCCCGGCCAATGCACCTCATGCACAGGCACCACCTGTCTGTCAGTGGAGGCTCGCGTGTTCCTGTGCTGAACAGGCTTCAGCAGAGCTTCCAGACTTTATAATAGAGGATAGCTATAGTTTAAAATTCGTTTATTCTATTGCTTAAATACTTTATTCTTTTAGTTTATTTATAATTTTTCCCCTTAAAAAAGGGTGAGAAAGATGAGTTTTGATGGCACTGGACTTGAAGGCAGGGCTGTGCCTTGTTTATCGCGGTCTCTAGGGTCTAACAGTGCTAAATAAAGGTTTGCTGAGGGAATGAAAGACTGAATGAATGAATAGCCTTTCCACTTTTAAGCGCTTCATTACCTTAAAGGCCTTCCTGACTATGTTGAGTTTCCTTTGGATAATTCTGGAGAACTCCTCGTCTTCTGTGTCAGTGGTGTCAGAAATCACTCGGTGGGTAAACGTGAGGGCGTCTGTAGCGATCCCTCGGGATCTTCCATAGTCTTGAAGTACAGCGATAAGAAAGCCTTCAGAGAAAAACACACACCAACAAGTTCCTGTGAGCCTGAGGGATGCGCACCCCCTAAACATTGCCGTGGGGTTAGCCCGCTGATGTCTCCAGGGGAGGGAAGGGAAGGGAAGAGTGGAGGAGGAAGAGAGCTGGGAAAGGGAAGAGGAGGGTCAGGCTCACCTTAGTCAGCAAAGTGATATCTTTGCTTTTTAGAACTTTAAAGAGGTCTTTCGTAGCAGATTTGCCCAGTGCTGCTTCCATGGGCCTTGATTGTTGATCCAAGTAGAACGAAATCCTTGACAACGGCAGTTTTCTCCATTTATCAGGATGTTGTTTATTGATCCAGTTGCAAGGATTTTCGTTTAGGTGTAATCCATAGTGAAGGCTGTGTCATCTGCATATTGCAGATTGTTAATGAGTCTTCCTCCAATCCTGATGCTGAGTTCTTCATATAGTCCAGCTTCTCAGAGTATTTGCTCAGCATACAGATTGAACAAGTATGGTGAAAGGATACAACCCTGATGCACACCTTTTCCCATTTTGAACCATGCAGTATTCCCTTGTGCTGTTCAAACAACTGCCTCTTGATCCATGTACGGATTTTGCATGAGCACAATTAAGTGTTTTGGAACTCCCATTCTTTGTAATGTTATCCATAATTTGTTATGATCCACACAGTAGAATGCCTTTGCATAGTCGATAAAACACAGGTAGACATCTTTCTGGTACCCTCTGCTTTCGGCCAAGATCCATCTGCCATCAGCAATGATATCCTTAGTTCCACGTGGTTAAGGATTGAATTGTGTCCCCCCAAAATGTGTGTCAACTTGGCTAAGCTATAATTCACAGTATTGTGTGGGTCCACAATTTTGTGATCTGATGTGATTATCCTATGTGTGGTAAAACCTAACTTCTATGATGTTTATGAGGCAGGATTACAGGCAGTTATGTTAATGAGGCAGGCTTCAATCTATGGGATTAGGTTGTATCTAGAGTCAATTTCTTTTGAAATATAAAAGAGAGAATCAAACAGAGAGGAGAGGGATCTCATATCACTAGGAAAGAAGTGCCGGGAGTGGAACGCATCCTTTGGACCTGGGGTCCCTGTGCTGAGAAGCTCCTAGACCAGGGGAATATTGATGACAAGGGCATTCCCCCAGAATTGACAAAGAAAGCCTTCTCCTGGAGCTGCCTCCCTGAATTCGGACTTCTAGCCTCCTAAACTGTGAGAGAATAAATTTCTGTTTGTTAAAGCCTTCCACTTGTGGTATTTCTGTTATAGCAGCACTAGATAACTAAGACTTGAACTTCTGGCAGTTCCCTGTTGATGTATGACTTCAGCCATTTTTTAATTATCTTCAGCAAAATTTTGCTAGCATGTGATATTAATGTTATTGTTTGATAATTTCCAGATTCCACTTGATCTTTCTTTGGAATGGGCACAAACATGAATATCTAACACACCTCTTAACTGCTGTCCTTGCTACTAGCTCCTCTTTTCCTTATTTAATCCACCTGCATAAATTTCTAGACTGGTAACTTCATCTTACTTCTTGATCATGTAATGCCCTTGTCCAGAATCTACCATGTCAGTCTTCATAGAGTGAAGTTCAGTCTCCTTAGTTGGGCAATTGAAGTCCACCTTGTCCTGCCCCACCCTGTGTCTCCTCTGTTCTGCTGTGACATGAGATGTCCACTGAGACACTGCATCTTCCTGACTCAGTGTCTTTGCTCATGCCATCAGCCTTGGATACTTTTTCTCAAATTTTCCTAGAATCCTTCAAGGCCAAAGAAGCCAGAAGCAACCTTGCTCTCCTCTGCGTATATTTTGAAGGGCTTCAGGCTCCAGGAGGACAGGCTACCAGTTGTCATTGAGTTGATTTCAATTCAAGGTGACCCCATGTGTGTCAGAGTAGAACTGTGCTCCATAGAGTTTTCAATGGTTGATTTTTTGGAAGTAGATTGCCAGGTCTTTTTTCTGAGGGTGCCTCTGGGTAGACTTGAACCTCCAACCTTCCGGTTAGCAGCTGAGCATATTAAGGTTTGCAACACCCAGGGACTCCAGGAAGACAAACCCTGGGCTTTAATCATCTTTGGGCCTGTGGCAGGCACATGCCGGCCTCATCCGAGGTGCTCAGTGACCGCTGGCCTCCCTGTCTCTCTCTAGCCCAGACCACTCTCCTGAGCTGCAGATCCATGTAGCCAGCTGCTTACCATCAGTTTTATTTGGGTGTGTTTGAGCACCTCAAACTCAACAGGCCTATCATTTTACTCTTCATCATTTTGTTCCTCTCCCTGTGTTCCTTATTTCAGGAAATAATATCAACATCCACCCAGCTTTCCAAGCCAGAAATCTGACAGTCATGCTTAACCTACTATCCCCCTCACGCCATCCCCCTGCCCCCATCCTTTCAAACATGGAGTCCAGATGGTTCTGCTTCCTAAATGTCCTCTGCTCCATCACCATCACCAGACTCCAGTTGCCATCAGCAGTTGCCTGGTGAACAAAGCAGTCTGATATATGACCTCCCAGACTCAGTCTTGCCTTCTCCGATCCATCTTCATCTTCTACCGTACTGCAGTCATCGGATCATGACATCTCTTGCCTAAAACACTTTGGTGATTTCCCATTGCCACAGGATGGAGGTGACCCCCATGGCGTCTTACACAGCCCTCAGAAGCTGCTTGTGCCTGTCTTTCCAGCTTCGTCCTACACCATTGTCCCTCTGAGTTTCTTTCCCTCTGACCACAGTGAATGTTTGGTTTCTCTAATATGACTTTCTCCCTCTCACCTCTGGGCCTTTGAATGGTATTCTCTCCAATGAGAATGCTATTCTCAGTTTAGTGCAGTGGTTAAGCATGTGAATTTTCAGGTTAGACAGGCTAGCTGAATTCAAATTTTGACTCAATCACTTAGTAGTTGTATGACTTTGGGAAAATTACTTAACCTCTCTGTGCCAAAGGATAATAGTAGTAACAGCCTCATAAGATTGTCATGAGAATTGAATGACTTAATATATGTAAAGTCCTTAGAACAGTACTTTTTTGTTGTTGTTAGGTGTCATTGTGTCGGCTTCCACTCATAGCAACCCTGTGTACAACAGAAGGAAACACTGCCCGCTCCTGTGCCATCCTCACAGTCGTTGCTATGTTTGAACCCACTGTTGGAGCCACCGTGTCAATCCATCTCATTGAGGGTCTTCCTCTTTTTTACTGACCCTCTACTTTACCAAGCATGATGTCCTTTTCCAGGGACTGGTCCCTCCTGATAACATGTCCAAGGTATGTGAGACGAAGTCTTGCCATCCTTGCTTCTAAGGAGCATTCTGGCTGTACTTCTTCCAAGACAGATTTGTTCATTCTTCTGGCAGTCCATTATATTCAATATTCTTCGCCAACGCCATAATTCAAATGCATCAGTTCTTCTTCGGTCTTCCTTATTCATTGTCCAGGTTTTGCACGCGTATGAGGTGACTGAAAATACCATGGCTTGGATCAGGTGCACCTAGGTCCTCAAAGTGACATCTTTGCTTTTTAACACTTGAAAGAGATCTTTTGCAGCAGATTTTCCCAATGCAGTACATCATTTGATTTCCTGATTGCTGCTTCCATGGGTGTTGATTGTGCATCCAAGTAAAATGAAATCCTTGACAACTTTAATATTTTCTCCGTTTATCATGATGTTACTTACTGGTCCAGTTGTGAGGATTTTTGTTGTCTTTATGTTGAGGTGTGATCCATACTGAAGGCTGTAGTCTTTGATCTTCCTCAGTAAGTGCTTCAAGTCATCTTCACTTTCAGCAAGCAAGGTTATGTCATCTGCATATTGTAAGTTGTTAATGAGTCTTCCTCCAATCCTGACGCTACGTTCTTCTTCATATAGTCCAGCTGCTTGGATCATTTGCTCAGCACACAGATTGAATAAGTATGGTGAAAGGATACAACCCTGATGCACAGAACAGTGCTTGGCACCAGATAGATATTATACAAGTGCTTTTTCTTTTCTCCCTCTATGCCCACCTGGAAAATATATAACTGGTAGCATGCCTCAAGTCTCATCTTAGTTGTTTTCTTAGTGGCCTTCCCTGACTCTTTGTTTAGGTCACCCTGTTTTATGCTCCAAAAGCATCATTTATCCATATATTCATTCAGAAGGTCATTCATTCATTCTTGAAATATTTATTGAGAGCTTTTTGGTGCTGGGATTGTATTAGATGCTAGGGATACATAGGGAGTAAAAACAGGCCTCATGGGGCTTACAATCCAGGGTAACCCCTTTACACTCCTGTCAAACATTGTTGTAACACATTCTTGTTGGATGTCTCTCTTCCCTGCTGGATGCATGCAGGTGGAGCCCAGGTAGCAGCAAACATTCATTAATTAATTCTTCTTAAATGAATAAATGAATGAGAATAGCTGAAGCACAGAATGAGTCCCTTGGGTGAGCTGTCCATCTCCAGGAGTCCCTCTTAAAATGTAGTGGTCTCTGGGAGGCGTCTAGTGTCAACCTTTGACATCATATAGCAAACGGTTTAGAGATGAGCCATTGAGCCACCTGCCAAGGCGCAGGTGGGGTCTGACCAAGATGGGTCTATTTTGGTGCCTGAGGAGTTGAGGGTGAGGGGAGGAAGTGGGTGGGAGTGAGAGGAAAGACTGCTCTCGTGTGTCATGAGGTGCTAGTGCACAACAGACCTGGGGGAACACAGGTGTCATGATGTGGGCCTCTGCTAATGGAGAGGAAAGGGAGAGTGTGGTGGAGCAACTGACTACAAACTTGCCTGGGCCAAGTGTGGGGCTGGTCCTGTTCTAATGCTCACCTTCTGGAAAGAAGAAGGCTGGGAGCCAGTATTTTGCAGGAAATCCTTCAAAGAAATCATTTTGAGCAGGGTGTGTGGATTTTTGGCTAACTGACGGACTAGACTGCTTCCAAGCTGTGAGAACTCTCATATACCTAGTGGAAAGCAGACCACAGGTGGGGGTGATTAACAGCATACTAATTGTACATCTTCAGATGATCTGGCCAATACCCTTCAGTCCCTCCCAATTTTCATCTTTTCCTTTTCATCTTCATCTCTCCCCCTCAGGACCCTTGTCCTGTACTTGAATGGAAACCAGACATGGCTTTGAAGCTTGTGAGGGAAAACAGGAGATCACAAAGAGCTGGAAAGCAATGAATTTGAGTAGCAAGGAATGTTATTATAGCAGGAATTCTGGCTAGGCTTTGCTGAATCCCGCGGACTTTTGAATTACTAAATTCTCTTAAAAAAATATGTGAAGAAATGTGGGTCAGATGCAGTGGTGTCACTAGGGGGGTGTGGAGAGTGGGGACCACACCAGGTGACACTGTCAGAAGGGGTGACACCAAAACAACTGTCTATAAAATTTTTGTGCAGTGTTTCAGCAGAAATTTATTATTTTTTTATAAAAATATCCCCGTAGTTAGTTATAACAACAAAATTTTTTTTCATAAGCCCAACTTATCAATACATCAATACATCTACAAGGCTAAAAGCCTATGCTAATTTACTTTTTGAACCTTCTAATGTGCTCCAGTCAGAGCTGTCATCATTACCCAATTACAAGGATGCTTTGAATCACGTGGTTTCATTTGAACACGCTACAAGCGTGGGCTGTTATTTTCCTTGCCGCTGGTGCTTTTAGTCACTGATTTTGTCAATATTTCTGGTGTTTTAGCTTCAATATTGTGGTAATTAGCATGAGGGGGTGACATCATGAGTTACTGCACTAGGGGACACCAACCCTAGTGACGCCACTGGTCTGTTTGTAACACTTGCTTACAGGTCAATGGCATGAGAGGCAGTATGGCACAGGCTTTCCAACCAGATTTTCTGGGTTCAAATCTCAATACTTCCACTTTCTAGTTGTGAAAGCTTGGGCAAGTAACTTTGTATCTTCATGCCTCACTTTCCTCACCAATAAGGTGGGGATAATGATAATAATAGTACCTACTTCACAGCATAGGGTTACTATAGAATTAAGTGAGTCAGCATGAGTAAGCACTGAGAAAAATGTTTGACATACTGTGAGGCACTCATTAAATGTTAGCTACTCTCATTTTGTAGTATGACTACAAACACAATTTTAACAATTAGGTGTAACTAATTCTTATTTTGTTTGATATTTTCCCCTGCTAGTATTCTCCGTGTAGAATAATGGAAAGAGAAACGTACTAGGTTCTAGACCTATCTCTGTTACTTGGAGCAGAGTGATCTTGGACAAGACTCTCAACATCTTAGGTCTTCTTCCTAAATTGAAAATGAGAATCCTTCCCTTGCTTCATTCACAAGTTACTGTGGGAACCCAAAGAGGCCAAGAAGTGAAACTATGTCATAAACTATTAAGCTCTAAACAAACATAGGAAGAAATATAAAGCAACTTCCATCCATACCGACGATGTATTGCAGTGTAAGCCATTTTGGCCCAGGTATTGAAGAAATTCAATCGCTGGATGAGATCATTAACCCAGGGACTCAGGGTTTTACAAGACTTGTAGGAGCATTTCTGTTGGGATTTGGAAACAAGCACATCATGTTTTTAGATTTGTCTTTGGGATCACTAGGAACATATAAGAAACTTTTAGTCACAGACTCAATTGCCAGGGAGAAATAACTTGGCCAGCTGAAAGTACATAATGAGAAATCTGAAAATTATTACCAAAGCAAACTAGCATTATCTCAACAATAGTTGGATAAAACATTTGGAAGTTTCCATCCTGGCTGAAGGTTTTCATCATTCTTCTCAAATCCTTTAATACGAACCCCTCCTCAGACCAGCCCCCAGGCCATGCAAATTACTGCGCCCTGACAATGTTGAACTTTACTGAGTCATGTGACCTGGGACAGCTGCAGAGGCTAAGACATCTCCCACCCTTTTGTGTCCCAGGAGATAGCTTACTGCAAAGAAACATCCTTCCTATATGACTTAGATAAGACTCAGGGATGCCCCTTGTTTACTTATGACAAGGCCAGGCACGGATCCTCCAAATTCCCATTCTTTGACTCACAGATGATGAGCTGAACTGCTTAATCCCACTCATCAGCCAGGACAAAATGCTTCTTAACTGAACTTTGGTTATAATTCTCCCTTCCCAGGCCCCTGAACTTTGGCCCATCCTTAGCCTGAGCATATTTCCCCTCCTTAAGGACCACTCCGAAACCCTAGTGGCGTAGTGGTTAAGAGCTATGGCT